CCGCCCGGGCCTCACCGAGAGCCGCCGCCGCCGCGCGTGTCCCGGATCGAGGCCGCGCCAGTGACCCGGATGTTCCCGCTCCCCCTGCTTTGTCTCCACTCCAGAGTTTCCCTCCCTCTCGCCTCGGCGCGGAGCGCGCTCGCACTATTGTGTCCCTCGGCCCGACCCGTCCGCGATCCCACCGTCACGCCTCACGCGCGCTCGCCGCACAGGACCCAGAGGTGCCCGAGCAGTGCCTGAGCGCGGAGCACCGGACAGAGCCGAGCGCTCCCCGTGCCCTGCTCCGCCGGCTCCGGCACAACATCCGTCCGTGTTTGGCTCCGGCCGAACGCTCCCTCAGTGTTTATTTACCTCCGGCGCCGCGAGAGCTGCCCGTGACCCGAGAGCGCCGGAGCGGTGGCGGGAGCGCRCAGTGTGTGGGGCAGTGCTGGAGCCGGGCCCGGCCCCGCCCCGCGCCCCGAGCGCTGGGAGGAGCGGCCGGGGCTGAGGGCGGGYGGGACAGCCCCTCACACAGCCAGGGGAGCGAGGGGCGGCCTGCAGCCTCATCCCACGGGCCTGCGCGGCACTTGGGGCCCGGCTGCTGCCCCTTGGGTTTTTTTGTTTAGTTTGTTWTTTTTTTTTCTCGGGGCGGAGGAGGGGTGTTGTTTGGTTTCCCCTTCTAAGAACGCATTTTTAGTGCAAGTAGAGTATGAATGACATTCTGTTCTCATCTTGGACATATTTTTAATGAAAGAGAATTTTTAGTCCTGAAACCTCTGCCTTGCGCTGGTCTGTGTCAATGTTACCTGAACTATGTTCCATGTAGTATTAAAGTTCAGAATGGTTTCTTGGGAACTCTAGAACTGATTATTTCAATAAATAATCACCTCGATTTGAATCAGCCCTAATCAAAATATATGCTGAAGATCACTCTAGCTAARAAGCCTTTCACTAGTAGCAAATCCCCACTCTAGACCAGGACAAACACAAACTCCCTTGTGTAACTTTCCACACAATTCCATAGGCTTTATGAAAAGTARTGGAAACTTAACATTTACAGGATCTCTCATGAAATTGTACAATTACAGTCTCGACAATGCCACGCACATATGGACTATGTGTTTGTGACTACCAGGCAAAACCTCAGCACACTGAAAATGAACAGCACACTAAAAGGAGAATTTGCAGGATCATTTTCATCTTTCTGAAGTGAAACTTCCCACTGAAAGGAAAATTAGTGCCAATGAATGTTTTAAGGGTTGCTAATGACTTACTCCTTTATGTCTCYTTTRTAACCTGGYTTCCAGTTCAGGGCAGACAGTTCCCTTTTATGCTCTCTCTTCTTCTAACTTGTGAAAGCATTCGAAGAAACACATAGAGTAGGAATTTGGGTTGAAAATATGCTGGTTGACTCTAAAGTGCAAATACTTTTAGTAGGACATTCTGATGAAAATACAGATGCACRTAATTTCACTGAAGTTGCTGGATGTGTAAGGAATTAATAGAATGTGTTTTGCACTTAAAATGGATTAAACTGTTAAGATGAAATTCTGATAAAACATACCTTTTTTTGTGCCAAAGTCTGGGGCAGCAGTAGAGGTTACATYTCCTTTACAAAGGAGAAAGTGTGAATGCTTTGAATCCCTGCACAAAACTGCAACTACATTTTACATCAGAAGTGCTAATCTAGGAATAATCAGTAACATCACAGCATTAATACCCATCAGTGCATTTAGAAAAGACAAATGTAAGACATCACACTTTAAAAGGGAAAAACCAGGTTTATTCCATGCAGTTTACAATACACTAGTGTTATGAAAAGGAAGTTAAAAAAATACCCACACACATTTTATTTGTATGTTTGTTTTGAAAGTGATGGTTAACTGTAACCACCTTGAAATTRGTTGGGAAGCCCTAGTAGATTTTTTTTTTCAGGGAAATTCCCCTGAATTCAGTTTCTTGTCTGTGTCTGTGCTATGAGTTTTGGTTAATGCAAATGCATTAAAACCAAATAAAAACTCAAATTTTGCTGCAGTAAGAACACTTCAGAGATAATGAATTGGCACAAATTAAAGTGTTATTGCTAATCCACTATCCAGGAAATAACGTGTTGCAAGTATGGCCACTTGGGTATAAGCACAAATAGCTGATGCACAACTAATTTTGAGACCAGAGATTTGAAGGAAAAAAAAGAACATTTGTTGAATTGGGTAGGTGAGCCTAAAGAGTGCATAGGAAGTAGGTTTTTCATAGCTAGGTTGAGGTGAGGATAAGGACAGAAGCAGGTGGAAAAAGCTGCCACTTGATACTTGTTGAGTTTGGTGATCTTGTTTCAGTTTCAGGTAGAGGTTGGACACGTTCCTTTTCAGAGTGCCTCGCACTTGCTTCATTCTAGCACGTATGTGTGAGTCAAGTTAATGTGAGGGAAGCTGTGCACAAGATTTTGGAAAATCTTCAAAAGTAGCAAGAATCAGGTACATAATAAATACATTTACATTTCAGTTAAGGAGGCCTCAAAATCACAACGGGTCTTAGGTCAAAATTTAGGCTCAGCTTTCTAAGGCAAGGAGAGMATTGCCAAAGAACCTCTTCCCCTTCCGTTCACCCCCAAAGAAGCAAAATCACTTTTTTAAAAGTTTCTCTCATTGTAGTAGTTATTAACACASAACATCCTGAAGATAACCCTTTGATGGGCTCAGAAAGCTGTATTTGCAGCAGTATCTATTCACTGAACTTTTGAAAAGTTTATGCTTTGGYAGACCTTGCTAAAGTAAAGGTCAACTAAGTTGCAAAAAAATATTCTGTGACAATTTCGTGGGGCAGAATCTTCCTCAAAGATTGCCAACGCTGTTCACAAAAGTTGTTAGATTCCAGCAAAGGCAATAATAAAGGGGTAGGTAAGTGTACTGCCTTCTCTAGTGTGCTCTTATCCAATCTGGATACTGAAAATCCCAGCTATATAAGATCACTTACATCTGCAATTGGTTCAGACATTTGTAAAAATTATTTTAGAGCCCATGAGTTGAAAGAAAAAGACTAGTTGTTTTTTAAATGTCTCTGGAACCTCAAATTAGCCCTGGAAAGCATTTTAGCCCTTAGCACTTCTGCTCTGAAAATGGAAAGAGTTCCTTCTGACAGTCTTTTAGGCAAACTGAACAGTAAGATTTAGCCCTTTAAAGCCTCTGTTCATGAAGAAGCCTTTAAAGACAGCTCCTGATTTTGTGAGACAAAAGAAAACTTACATGACACTGAGTTCAGAGAGCCTTCCACATTCTTTTTTAAACTGAATATTCATGCTGTTTAAAGAATCAATAATTCTGCACAAAAACCCAGGTAAGATCCCAAGATTGTCCTTAAAACTGGGATAACTGCAGTCCAGACTATAATGAAGTAACAGGCAGCATCCTCAGACTTATGTATTTCAAAACTTGTGTTAGAAAAGACACTTCTCCAATCACCAAAGTTTTAATCTTACTGTCTTAAGAGAGCAGACACTGTTAAAGGCATAAAAAAAATTCATCCCTTTTCAAAAGCCCCCCAGTTCAAGAGCTGATTGAAAAAGTTAATTTGAAAAACTTGAAACTTCTGATGTGGTGAGAGAGAGAATAAAACAGRAGAATGACACTTTCTGATTTTATCACATCCCAAGTGAACAAAATCCCAGACTTCATCTCCAGGCTCTCTTTCATTTGATCTTGATCTTCCTCAAAAAGCCCAGGACACTTTCACTCTTCCCCCAGCACTTCCCAAGGAATGTATTCCAGTGCACCTGAATAATTATAATCCAGGTTCTATTTAATTCCAYTGAGCCAGATACTATTGCATTTTTGCCCTCCAAGTTCATTTTTGTAATATTAATAAAAACAGTAATTTATAATTAATGCATGCTGATTTGCTGGTGTTAGCTCTCTACAGCTCAAAAAGAGATTGACAACTCTCAACAATCTCCACAGACATTCACAGAAYAGAGTTCTGAGAAGCACTTTTCTGATAACATTATCATCCTACTCAGCAGACTCGTTCCTGCGGTTGCATGCCTGAAACCAAGTTACCTTTTGTTTAATCTGCCACAAGTTTTCATTTTTCTCCTGAAAAAAAACCTCAACAAACAGATTCTCTCAGAAAARGAGGAGACTGATTCATTTTTGGCATCTGCAGGAAATAGTCCTGTTTCTAATCAATCGTAACTGTGCCTTCACATTGCCAGAAATGGAGCTACACAGCTTTTTTGTAAAGAAAATCTGAAAACAAAAGTCAGATGGATTCACTGAGCTTCATCTTTTAGGAAATATTTTTCCTAATGTTGCAATGCAAGATGAAAGGAACTTCTWTCATTACAAGAAATCTGAGTTTGAAAAAAACACAGTATATTTTCCAGATTTTATGAGTATATGATTCTGAGGACTGAAACTTTAGTAAAGAATCAAGATAAGCTTCTAAATTCAATCAAGTCTTTGACACACAAATTACTGTGAGATAAAAAAAAACCTGCAGTTAACCATAATCCATGGAAATCCCACAGTAAGTACGAYAAAATCCCAGGTAACCTTTGGACTGGGAGCTGCTGAGTCAGATTATACATTTGGACAGTTATTAGGGGCTATGTGAYATTCATGTCTTTGAGGCCCCAGAATTGCAGATAAATTGCTTCAGTTGCCACTTGAAGAAGTCAAAAGCATGTWATATAAAAATGTCATCTCCAATAAAGGAAAATAGCTTGTGAGAAAACCTGAGGCCAACAATATGCTCTTTCCTAACTCAAAGAAAGAAATTGTTACAGCAAATTCAAACCTCTGTTTTTAAACAAGTTTTGCAAGAAGTTTGTCAWGTAAATACCTTTAAGGAATTTAGCATCTCTCCCTTTCTGCTTTATTCCTTCTGCTATGATCGCTTCAAGCTCAGGATCTAAAGTTCTAACTTGGAATACTGTTCTGATTTAAAAACAGAGTAGCTGTGTAAATCCAGAGCTAAGTCAAAGGGGTTTGAGGTAGAGCTTTGCAGCTTCAGCCTGGTAGCCAACCCCTCAGCTCTGAAATCACAGGCAGCTCTCAGGTAGCTGCTCTCCAAACAGCAGAAACAACAAAGGACTCTGGTTTAAACTACAGAGGCACATTGCTTCACCCTGCAAGATCTTAACAGATGAAGCAATGTTTACAAAACCTGGTGATTCAGATTGGACTCAAATACAATTACCTTGTTACTGCCACTAACTTTATTTGAAACTGCAAGAGTCAAATRAAAAGAAACCAAACTTATTAAGGGATAAATTCTTAGTGCCTTGAAAAAAAGGTGATGATAGTATTTCCGTCTATCTGAAGCCTCCCATGATCACAAAAATTAAAGCAATAATGACGTTAGCAAGAATAGGAAAGTAATCAGTCAGGTGGTCTCAAACAACAGCATATTTAAAATAATTTACAAGGTACCTGCCCACTAAAGTTCTCTCTTTTTTCTTTCCTTCTTAAAATCTTTGTGAGGTATTGGAAACAAAGTGCAAAAAATTTATTAAACACTCATTTCCCTAAAATTAGCTATGGTAGGGATACAAGGCAAACTAGATTGCAGGTAATCTCATCATAAAAGCAGGTTTTAAAACCAAAAATATTCCAATGGAAAAAAATCCATACTTAGAAAAACCCACTCTTTTTACATATTCTAAATTTGTTCAGTTTGCTCAGTTTGTTACTCATGCTTTGCTGATGTCATTCAGGAAAATTTCACTTTATTAAATAAAATAGTCTGTCCTTTTTGGCTTAAATAAGAGAGACAACAGAAATGCTGATTCAGAAGGATCACTGTCAAACAGGTATTTCAGGCATTACAATCCACTTAGACCAGTGCTGAATTACTCTGCAGAGCACATCAAGAAAACAACAAGTAACACGACTGGCTGCAATTCCATGAGCTGGGGAGCTCAGAGAATTTGGTGGAGTCATACTGCTTGAAAACACAGTGACTACTGCAGCAGAGGAAATGTTTAAATATGCAGTTAACACAGACAATTGTTAYGCTTATTTTCAGATACACAAGATAATCTGTCACTATTTGGGGAAATCTGTGTGCTCAATTTAAGCTGATAAAATATGGGTGCCTAAAAAAGTATAAAAGTATAAACATTTCCCCCTACACAATTACAGTTTTAGTAAATTAAATTCAGTTTAAACTTCTTAAAAAAAGACAAAAATTTTATGTGTTGTGGAGGGGCCAGCAGCTTCTGTGCAGACCACATCCAAGTCACAAAATGCATTACAAATCCTTTCAAGCATTAGGCACATGGACAAAACATTTAGCCCATTGCTTAACCTGCTTAGTAGAAATGTTTTTTACAAATTGTTTTGCCAAACTTCTACCAATGTGTAAGTCTTTAAAAAAAAAAAAGTAGACCCTGGGTATTTGAAAATCAGGCTTTTGTGTAAAGGATTACCTACAGTATATGCATAAATTCTCAAATTACTAAGAATGAACTTTAATGTCTTTAGAATTTAAAACCATCTTGTAGCTTTTTGAAACTCCCTTCCACTGGTTCCGTAAGTCAGTGAAGCCAAGTTTTATACTGTCCATTTCATTAAGTGTTTTAAAGATGTGCTGAAGATTTTGCTCAAAACATAGTGTATTAGAAAGCTCCAGTCTTGTGTATTAGCCTTCATCAAGGACAAATGAATAAAGCTGCACCACATTCTTTCAAACACTGTTCTTAACTGCATAGTTGAAACTGTATAGARAGAGAAAGGTTGATTACAGGTTCCTGAATGTCCAAAGTAATCAGGTTTTTCAACTGGATGAATTTATGTTCACACTAAGGTTGATTTTAATCCCAGTCATAGAGACTGGGACCTAGGACTAGCCAGCCATATTTCTGTAAAACCTTCAGCTCTAGAAAAATCTCTAACCTAATCCACACAGTTCAATGCTTATAGGCATTTTATAAAAGCATAAACACACATATGAGTACAAACATCTCCAAAGAAACAGAATGTTCAGTTGGTCATTTTAAGTGAATTTTGATTCCCCTTTCAAGCATCTGACCAGGACTGGAGCATWACTTTTGCAGGAGACTGTTTTAACAGAAGGAACATCAAGAATAACTCAGATGAAGGCCAYTTTCTCTGAGTTTAGTCTTCCCTTTGGGCATTAAAATAAGCTATACATCCAGTCAATATATACACCCTTCAGAGAAACCTTTTCTCTGTTGTGTAAGTTTTACACATGCTAGTTTCAGTTGATCTCCTAGGCTGTTATTACATAACAGATTATGTCACAGAGCCATAAGGAATGTGCAGTATAATACAGTCAACTGGGGCTGACACTGATTCTGAAACAATGTATGCCCAAATACTTGCATTTGTGGGCTGTAACATTTGTGTGTGAGTGTGTGTGTGTGTGTTTGTGTGTGTGTTTGTGTGTGTGTGTGTGTGTGTGTGTGTGTAGCACCAATTACATTGTCCTTTTAAGGTTTACAATGATTAATAGGAAAATGTCTCCAAACTGATCAACATTGGGTCATCCAGCACCGGACATCAAGTGCTACATGTCTCCGAGGAAAATATGAGTGCATGGTCATTTCTTTTCAAATGACCAGTGTCAATCAGCCAACAAGAGAGTACAACCATGCACTACATCCAAAACTTAACACACACTCCCACACCATCTATTCCCATTATGTAATCTTGCAATGCTTCCAGAAGCTGACACCAGCTTATAGGCAAATATGGTTGAACCCAGATCAACAGAAAATTGTCTAAATCAGATTTTTTCTTTTGCAGCCAGGCCTCTTCAGTGTGACAATTCACTGCATCTTCGAATAACAGAAAAAAAATTGTCACCGTTCAATACTGTCTTCACATCCTGGAACCTCGTTCTTGCAAAATCTGAAATAGATCAATAAAAATTCTATAAATAARAATTAGCTCAATGTCATTCCCAAAGCATGGAGATCAAAGAGCAACATGACTATTTTAAATAACCAGTAATGTGTCAGGGACCTGRTTCGAGGACATTCCTGTGGTCTGTGCTTTAAAGCTGAAAAAAGACAGATTGATATGTACAATGCCTACTATCAAAYACCATTAAAACAGATGTAAAATACTGCTAGGAATTGAGTATTATTAATATAAATAATTAATGTATTAATAAGACTTAAGAGTTGGCAATTGTAAAAAGTAAACCATTACACCTCAAACTACTTCAGAAGATCCTGACGTCTTACGTGGTAAATTAACCTGGGTATTTTACTAGAAACTGAATTTAATCTTCATTTTTCCTATTCCAGTAAAATGTTCTTAGCTTTCTGAAGTTTCAGATACAAACTGTGTTCCATAAATTAGTACTGAAAACATGCACTAGTAAATCAAAACGTGCAAAAATGGCACGCTGGGTGTGATGATGCATAAAGTTTCTAAAGGCCAAGTACAACCTGGCAAGATTTAAATCAACAGCACCCATTTTACTTCCAGTTTGACTATTTTCTCTCCTTTTCTGTTTCAATTTTGTCTGCCACCTTCAGAGAAGAAAGAATCTAAGTCTTAGGACTGACTGTTTAACAATATTTTCATGTCACTGCTCTAAACCGAATCTCAACCAGCAATAATAATGAGGTCAACTCGGGCTGTGCAGTACTCCAGAACTGTGTCACCAGGCTGCAGAACCAATCATTACAAATGAAGCAAATGAAGCATTAATCAAAGCTTCAAACATACTGAGCACAAGTACTTAAGAATGTTAATCTGTAAGTAAAAGTCTTATGATACTTCATTTTCTTTTGCTTCTTGATAGTTTTCTTAGTATTGAGTAGGGTTCTTGATTTCAAAAGTTGAAACAAAGCAAAGGCACAATCTCTGGACAATGGCAGAGCTGTCTTCAAGATGGAATTTCCTTCTGCAATGATTTTCATGTAGCCTGGTATTATAACAAACACTCAGTAGCACATTCCATCCCACAGAATCTGCCAGCACACATAAACACTTCCATCTCTGTGCTTATAGGGTAAAGGCTGGCAAATCACTTAACACAGCACAACAGTTTCATGTATGGTTTTAAATTTTAAGTGTCTAGGTATTTGGTTTCCTTTTAATATTGTTAAAATGGCAATTAYGTCTTTCATAGTGACTGAAGTCAAGCAAGGTCTCACCTGCTTTGCGTAACTCCATGGGATTCTTTAAGAGCTGGAGTTCATAAAGAACCTATTACCATTTGTGTAGCTCAGGGACAGCTCAGAGGCAATGCGGTGTTAGCTCAAAAAGAAAACTCCACTTTATCACTTGCTCATTGCACTACCTCCTACACCTAGATTGAGCTTTGTGCACACAAAGTTATTTTTCATTTCAAATTCAGCATTATTGTTTTGAAATTATGAAGCCAGACGATAGTGCAACTGACAAACTGAAAAATTTCAAAAATACAAAGATGCTTTCCACGGGCCATGACATTCTTTAGGGTGTGTTTTAGCTGCAAATACTTATTTCATTAGGATCATCTAATGTGTATACTAAGTAAAAAGCATTTCATATGAAACTGTAGAAAAGATGTAAGTGACTTCTGTGGGGAAAACACAGGCTCTGTAAATTACTGAGGAACTGCCTGTGTCCTACATGCAAAAGGAACTAGATAAACTTACAGAAGACAGTGCCACTGATACAACTCATGATATTATAGTGACATTCTAGCTTCCATACAATGATCTGGACAAAGGCTTGAAGCCAAAATTCCTAATCTGAGTTTTACTGGAAGGTGGGGAAATATATCAGAAGTAGACATCATAAATGCTTAATATTTAAACTTCTTCCRCAAGTATTTGCTGGTCAGAGCAGAGAACAAAGTGCAGGAGTAGATGCTTACAATAGAGGATAACAGTAAAACCCAGCAAATGGAGTCAGTAAGTGAAACCATATCCAACAGWGACAAAAACACAGCTGAAACAAACACCTGTACAACTAGAAAATAATACTGGATCTATTAATTCTGTTAATATTTCCAATTTAATATGAAGTATTTGAATTCATTATTTCCTAGAAGAGAAGAGTAGAGTAATAGAACTATTATATACTAYATACTATTATATACTATAGAACTATTTTCTGTAGCATCGGGAACATATGCAAGATAAAGCTGAGCCAGATCTGGACACTGAACTTTGTTTCAAAAAAGTTTTGGATTTAATCCATTCCCTTCAGCTGTTCCTAAAGACCTTACAAAAGGCCTTACTCTACTGTACCAGAGGCTTCTGTTAGCATCATTTAAGAGAGCAATGTAGGTCCTTGGTTCTTCTTGAGCCATGTGCAGCAACTTCACAGAATCACAGCATATCCTGAATCAGAAGGGGTCCACAAGGACMATGAAGTGATGATCCTGGCCTGGCACCAGACAATCTCAAGAATCACACCATATGCCTGAGAGCATTGCCCAAACTTCCAACACATGTGTAAGGCTGCTTTACAGCTAGAAAATTCAGGTGTATAGGTGAGAAGCCCAAGTCTAATCTTACGCAATGGCAAATACCTTCAATTTATACAGGCTCAAGTGACCACTCACACCATACCACTGAACATTCAATGGTATGTTATCTTCTAGAAACTAGAGAGCGGAATAAGTATGACTAAAGACACTCTAGAAGTGCCTAAGTTGTTCTTCCAGATGCAGCTTTTTTGTGCTCTTCCACTTGTGACTTTTAATGTAACTTGCTCTTCAATCAGATGTCAAACTACAGTGGAAAGGATCCCTCCCCAGAGTTGTTTCCTGTGATTAGKACAACTGTAGCACCAAGATTACACTATTTACTTGTATTTGCCTCATCTTCATTAAAAAAATCCTTAGTTTCAAAATTATCTCAAAAGGCCACCTTTGGACAATGTTGCACTTTTAATCAAGTTTGTTAAATTATTGCCAAATCAGACATTTACTGAAAATGCATACTATAAGTTTGTATCCGATGCCTCTACATGTAAAAAAACATTTGACAGAAAAACTGGCGCACATAAAATAAGAATGAAGAGCAATTCTTGCCCTAGAATCTACATGAAGAACTTTCCTTCTCAGCAAAGCTTTGAAGGAACTACTCACAATGCAATTTATAAAAGCAACACTAATTATTCTGTCAGAGAAGCAATATCCAGAACAGGAATTCTATCTTTGCTAACCATGCCACAACTAAAATCACRAACACACACACACCACCAGGACTAGCCAAAGGACAGCACTAGTGGGGGTGGGAATTGGATGGGGCAAAAAGCATCTGGTTAAAATCCTAGGGCAGCTAGTGCTCACCATGACATTTACACTTAATCTGAGTCATTCATATCGTAATCCGTTTCTTCATCCTCACTCTGAGTGTCATGCAGCATGCAGCAAGTATAGAAGAAGGAAGGGAAAAGAAGAGATTGCAAGTGAGTCAAAGCTGCAACAAWGTACAATCCACTTACACCTGAAGCATCTGGCAATGACATTTATTCACTTTTACCTGGGACCTCCACTTTTTTTGTATAAAAAAGTATGACAGCTGACCATTTCAAGAAGGAACGTAACAGATTTCATGACAATTTCCTYTTCCAAATGTCCTGAAGTCAGCAGATAGAAGCCAGTAGTCAGGTCAATAAAGCGTTATGAAAGAGAAGAATGCTTGTGGGAATACAGGTTATCTTCTGGTTATGCCATGGCTACCAGTAAAAGCCACTGGAGGAACCATCTAAGATTCATTTCCTTTTCTCAGGTGTATTAAAAGGTTACACAGAAGTCATCCACTAACTTATTATTTAGCAAGCTGACTGTTAATTAAAAAAGGAAAACACAAGAAAAAAGTCCCTAAGGAGGAAYAAAGGTGACGCTTGATTAAATGGCTATCAGAAAATACTTTCTTCCTCTTCTGACAATCCAGGACTATTMACTAAAACKGAAGTGCTTGTCAACAAAAGTTACACATTGGCAGGTTTTTTTTCCTCTATCTCAGTTTGTAGTAAAATAATAGGAGGACTTTCTTATGGCATCTAAAAGTTCGTCCTAATACACAAACGTACTATTCTGTATATAACAGTGGATACCAGAATTTCAATCATATGAACTTCATGAAGACCAACTCAGACACTACTGAGMCTAGAGGATAATGCTTGCTAAGAGGGCAAGCAAGGATAATGCTTGCTTAGAGCTCCCAAACTCAAGATTCCTGAACACAGCTTTCAGAAACCTCTCAAGAAAAAAAAAATCCTTYTATCACCAGTTACAACACATATCTATATAAAAATATATGATCTTTTAGAAACATAATATATAAAATAATTATTCTTCAAGTATAGCCTATTAATTGCTAGCAAGAGCTTAACACTTCCAGGACAAAAGGAGTGAATGTTTATATCTCCAACCAAAATTAACAGTAATTCCTATTCATCACACTGGTCAAATGATGCTYTGCTCTCATCTCTGAAACAATGACCAAGCACATCAATGGACACATGCAAGACAGCTTCTCTCAGCACCACTCAATTTACACAGCTGTAATGCAGTGTGAACTRGCTTTTGTTCTTCAACACTTGCATTTGATCCATATTTTCTTTTACATTAAGGATGCAACGTAACTTTGGCAACTTCTAAAATTACCTGAAGATGCACTACCATTTCTTATGAAGATGTTTATTAGGCTCTAGAACTCCACATTTCATTTCAGATAGGTAACTCAGCCCTAAATTATTACCACRCACCTCTAACATGTCAACTTTCAAAGTCTTCCTCAAGCATCCTGACAATGGAGACCTTAACTACAGTTTTGAAAGAGTGAGACATGGCTTATCCTGTTCCACTGTTTACCCCTGACTACATTAAYCCTTTACTACTCTTTGGAAGTTTTRTYTSAACAGYGACGAAYATAAATTACTCATTTCACTAGGAATCCAATACACAGCTTGGAGTATTTTTATAGTGCAAATGATAAAAATTACTCTGTATGTGTAGCTGCATAAGCATGTTAAAAAGCACAAAAAGTAATGAAGTTTTATCTTAGGCCTCAGTGCCTAGACTCAGATCCACTCTTAGCAATATTTCAAAATCCATTCCTTCGAAAGTGATTCATGAAAAAGCAAGCTTTGATGATTTACCAATTGCTTTCCATCTACATATGGGAAATCAAAAGCTTTTAAGCCAACTACAGAAATATCCAGTTTGTTTGCAGYCATCTCCTCATACAAAGCAGCAGTACAATGACAAAAGCTGTTCACTAAACRTGACACTGAATACACTTACATTACAGAACTGCTCTGCCTTAAGACTAGTCAGCTGTGGTTTYCCATTTTCCTTTATAAAAATTCTGAAACACAACTGAATAAAATGCTAAGATACTGGGCCCTTTGCAATATTTTTGTAAAGCTGGTTACAAAAGTAAACTCCATAGAACCCTGAAAGCATTAACAAGCACCCTCAYTTTAGAACATATTGCACTTGACTGTTTTACAGAGAGAGCACCTTACATGTTCTATTCTTGACAGYAAGATTTCTGCAGCTGAAGTCAAGCAAGAAAAACAGTTTTTAACCAAACCAGTGGCATTCAAATGTTCAAGAAACAAAATCTAGATTCTCAACTGTAAAGAGAAAATATCTGCCAATACCTGGRAAAAACAGGTACTGAAAAAGTACTGAGTATTGTATTTCAATAATTCAGGCATGGATGACAAACGCACGCTGACCGTACCATTTACAGTCCCTCATACAATGGACAGGGGATCATTATCAGTCTTGAACAAGGGGGAAAAAGGACAATGAAATAATGGTCCACAGCAGAGGTACCTCTAGCTTAACTTGTTAAACCCACCCATGTCAAAAACCATTTCTTTAATCCAATGTTTAGTAACTCACCTTTGCTTTTTCRCTGGGTTCACTGGTTGTGCCATAAGGAGTGTTATGCAATTCCTTTGAGACAACACACAGAAATTCAGCCTGATCTTCATTGCCATAGTTATAGGAAGAACCAATACTGACCAGCTGAAAGATGAAAAAAAAGAAAGTCAAYTGTATTTCCACATAAAATAAATTCCATAAAGTCTCATGATTAGTACATACAGTCCTCACTCTTCAGACTGTAGGCTGTGCCTGAAGCATGATTATCCACTTCAATGCAAATACGTTTTGATGCTGACAAATACACTGACAATACACACTCTGATGGTAAGATAAACACAGCTTTACTTTTTAAACAGTTACACAATTAAGAATTTACAGTTAAAAGTATCCTGTGAAAGAAAAGGCTATGGAGGCAGGCCAGTGGAAAAATAGCCTGTACCCTGATTCTGTTATTTACTGGAAACCTTCATATCCTCCAAAGTTAATTTTTTAAGTTTGTATGTGGTCTCTTAATGTGACATGATTTAACATGTAAATGGCTGCATGCAGGAACTTCTTCAGCCTGAAGGAATACCCACCACTTCTCACAAAATAACAGTATTTCTATCCAAACACATTTTGAATGAACAAACACAGCATTTGCATCTGATTGGAAAACAGCAAGAGAGTATGGTGGGACATTAACATCTGAAATTCATACACACTGCTACAAGGAAGCTAATTAAAGAAGCGCTACAAGCAAAAGCCATGTATAATGAAATGTGACATATTTACAAATTTCTACAGTCTCTAYATTGAATGGTAAATGACATTTTACTGAGAACGAAGAATATGCTCAACATCGGTACTACTTCTTATGCAGCATGTTTATCAAATGGCAGAAATTGTCTTACCTTACACRCAATACACTTACCTAATGCTAGAAGCTTTACATAGCCTGCCTTTCCAAGCCAGATTCAATTCAGATGTAGCTGGTTCATTTATTTTAAAGTTTTATTTCAAAAGCATAAGATAATGTGTGATCTACGAGATAATGTCAGCTCTACTGACATGTATCAAAGTGCTAAAAATCAACCTTGCACAGATACACTGTATCAATTTGTCATTACCCAAACTATATTGAATCTATCTACCAAATCACCATACACACTGACTGTCCTATTCCCCAGTCTCTGCTATACCATTAAAGTCCTCTAGAAATGGCCACATAGAAAAGGCCTAACTTGTTTTTTTAGAGCAATAGCACTTAAAAAACTGTATTGATCTCTGTAAAGTCAAATAGTGTACTATACACCATTAGTCTAGCAGAACACCAAAGAGAGTAAAAGCTTTGTTAAAGCATGAAAGACGAAGTCAAGATGAAATCCTGATCCAGAACTTGTACYTAAGGGATAAAATTATTCCCCCAACAAAAACTGAGGTTAGACCAAGGTTAAAAGCAGCTTCCATATAGCACTGTCTGAAGAAAACAAAGGCTCACTGTACTTTCTAATGAGAAGAGAGAGATGTTCAGATGTTCCTGCACTGCAGTAAGATAGCCAAGCAAGCACTTCCACAGACAGAGAGAGACAATGTCTAGAGAAGGCAGCAGGCAGTGTCTGCACGATAGATCAACTTGATGCCAGGCCTAAGCAATGCCAAAGGCTTTGGAYCCTGATGATATCACAGTATACAAGGCTCATCCTTCCATGAGCAGTACTGGCCATCTAAACTCATCACTCTCAAATTACATACTTTAACTACACTGAGTGTGATAACCATAAACCTTCTCTCCCTCCTCCTAACATCACTCTATTCTACACAATATATACGTAGGCAGTAATAAACACAGAYTAATCAAAAATTAATGTGCTAAAGACATTTTTTCAACCAAAACGGTGTAATGAAGTTACAAATCCCTAGGTTTTTAGAAGCACCAAAGCATATAAAGGCACCATTAATCTTGAGATGTTAAGTCAGCTAATCTTTCACAATGAATACTCTGCAGACTGCACCATAATGTATTTGTGTAATGTAGAATCACAAAACCCACAGAGTAACTAGTTTCTTAGTTGCACAAAATGGACTAAGACAGTCTGCTGAAAAGCTGGAAAATCAACCCAAATTTACTTCATATATTGAAATGAATAGTTGATTGTCTTCCCTATCAACAAAAATATAACACATAAATTTTCAGAAMAAAATAGCAGTTAAGTTGGGTTTAAACCCAACAAAGTTCTATAAAGCTTACACATCATATAGCAATTACAAGCTGTTTAGTACAAATACAGTAACCTCTTCAATTAGTAAGGTAAAAGTTGGAACATTAAAYGGTATTTTTAAYCCACTTAAAGGCTCAAAAACATTCAGAAAGTTTGCATACACATTTAAATAAAGCCACACAAAATTCACCTTCTCTGAAGAGAAGTTTAAAGAACAAGTCAAGCATACAATTTAATTAGTATACAGTTGACTTTTCTTCTTGCAAAATGGTAACAACTCTATATCATAAGCTATGGTAACTACCAGAAGGAAAAATACTTCCTTAGTTATTGACACTCTAAAGAAAGAAATTACTTCTCTCAAAGTAGGTACCATACAAGACCTAAACATCAGCCAAACCATCCATCCTGGCTCAACCAGAYTGACAGGTCCTGAATTGATAGTTACTTACAAATGTTTCATAATCCAACCACGTAAGTTAACCTTTTGCATAGTCTTTTTAGGAGACAGGGAGACTGAATACTTTTAGCCAGTTGGATAGGACTATTGATTTAGCTGACTGCAAAACATCTAATGACTTTTGGTCACTTTTGATCAGTAGATAAAGTCACTTTTGCAGCATCAGACCCAAGTTCCTCAAAACACCRACTCATTATACTCTCATAAGCAGTTTCATATGTGTGCAGCCAAAAATTTGTAATTGGCATAACAGAAATTGCATGCTAGAAATTTCACTGTAGCTTTCTGAAATGCATCAACAAYAAGGTTGATGGCAGAAAAATAAACAATGGAAAATGACTGCAGATTAGAATTGAACTGTTGCGTCAGGAACTGATATCAGAAATAAAGCAATGTTTTAGCACTCCTATTAGCACCCCTAGAACTTCACTGTTCCCAGTATTGGTGGCATTTTAAGAAGAATGTTTATAATCTGGAAGACCACCCCTGTCACGTCCATCTGCCTTCACACCATCAAGCCCATCCCCCCCCTCAAAAGAACCCAGAACAGATCAGACTAATCTGAGGTATGAAAAACAGGTCAAAGGATTTCAGATTATCCAGACTACTGTTTCTYAGACTTTCTGAAAGGACAAACTGTTTTTCCTTCATGGAGCTTAAATGACCAAGAACTTTAAGAAAGATAAAAAAAATTTTGAAACTGCAAATTCCATAGATTTGTACTGTTTTATATATCTACAAATGTATGTATACATGCATATAGCTATTTTTCTTCATTGATTTATTCCTTCTATGACTTGATTCATTACACTCCTTACTAAAGCAGTGTGATCCCATTTAAGCATCCCTGTGAGCCCCAACAGTGTCAGAAGTGAGCACAGGAAAACGCCAAAGCTCCTTATCACAGAAAATTCATTAGATAAGGATCTGTTACCATTACAAACTCCTGTTGTTATTCCAGTTTGAACATATTTCATCCACCTAAAAAAACAGTCAAGTTCAGAGTTATCAGAARTAAAGGGTTCAAACTCAGGACTTAACTTTGGTAGATGAAATAATTGTCCTAGTTTACCACAGAATTGTCCTCTTCTGAACCCAATGAACTCAAAGCTGAATTTATAGGACTCCTCAGGTTTGAACTGTACCTGTTACCTAACAAGTATGGATCAAAGGCTGTTAACTTTGGAGGAAAATTTAAGGAAAAGAAGTTACCTACTGAGGAGGTAAGAGCTCTTCTTAGGAAAACCCATTRACTAAATAACTAAGGGATTTTCGTTTGGTTGTTTTTCTATTATTTTTACAATGTGGACATTCATAATGTGTAATGAAGTATCGTGAATATAAATAAAAGCCAGTCACAAATACACACAAATTACTATGTGCTGTACATCCAGAAAAAAGTGGAATGATTTGAAAGCAGCAGAAATGCAAGGAGGCCAAGCATATCAGTGTGAGGGCAAAAAGAATGGTGTGACACACCTCACTGCAGCATTTCTGGAAGCATCTCTCTTCCCCTTTCACTTCCCGTGACACTATCAGCAGAAACTCTGACTGCTGAGCCCGGCCACAGCTGTACTGGGAACCTATACTGACAAGCTGAAATAACCAATCAAAGCAAAACACAAAAAGAAACCTTGTAAAGCTGAAGCACATACCGTTATCCAAACTGTACAAGTAACAGATGAGCTCAAATGTTCAGGTAACATTTACTTGCCACTAGAACAGGTTGCTATCAAGCTACAACTTTCAKGTCAAGATAAAATTCACTGAGGCAGTTGCAAAGCCCTTTGTAATTTAAAGGGAAGTTAAGAGTTACTGGTAAGAAGACAGAAAACTCCCCATATCACTGTGTTRTAGCCAACTACTCTGAAAAACAAACGAAGTTTGGTACATTATGAAAGTAAGTGATTATCTTCCTGTCAAACTTGACAAGTGGAGAAGGTAACATGGATATAAGTCTGGAAGGTTTTATGTAAAGCTATATATCAAGCTTGGGTATTAAAGAGCTTCATCTTGTTCCAAATACTGATAAAATACAGCAAAGGAAACATGAGAAGTCAACTAGAGGAAGAAAACGTTGAGTAGTTTAAATTGGTTTTAGAAGGACTAATTTACAGAAGATCCAAGAAAATAACGGGAGTGTAAAAAAATTGTCTCGTTCCCATAAAAATCACTACCAAGAACACTGGCCAAATGTCTAATGATTTAAAGTTCAACCTCAGCTAGATTTTTCAACCTCTTATTACCAAAAATGTTTTATGTTAATAACACATGGCAATTCCTAGCCCATTTAAATTAAATCATAGCCTGCCCATGCACTCAAGAGAGACTGGAACTTTAAATTAATTGTGAAGAGTTAAGACAACTGCCTGTTCAGAGTAAACTGGAGATTATGACAGATGAGAAGGTCCATGGACAGTAATTTTATGTATATCCTGCCATATATGAATGTGAATAATTTTGATGACAGCAGTTAAATACCATCCTCCTCACACAGTGAACATACTTACGACTGCATTATGGTGACAGACTCAGATTACTTTAATCATTTAAATTTACATGACCAGCACAGTTGCTATATAAAGCCTTTGCATTTAGCCATTTTGAGTAGCCCACAGTTTTTCATTATGTTTTATTGCCAAAATACTGAGTTTTTTTCAGATTGCCTGAAGAGGTAACAAAGTTAAAAAGTCTCTGYAAAATAACTGAAATTACAAAAGCGGGGCAGCACAATTTTTGGTAATAGATTCTGGACTGGGACTAATACATAATTGCACTGTTCTAGCACAGCTTTCCCACCCAATCATATTTAACAATAAAATTTTGAAATGCTAAGGGTAAAAAAATACTTTTTATCAAAACCAACTACTTAAACATGTTAATGCTGCTCAGAGCACAAGGACTCTCAGTCTGTAAGAATACCATTCCTCTGAAAAAGCTGATGATTCCATCTTTTTTCACATGCAGAGCATGGTGGGTACTGCCCCAAACACTGCTTCTGAAAGCAAGCATGCTGCTGAGCAATGTGATCTTAGAAAAAATTACAGAAATGCTACAGTGTTTGAAGATATTAACAATAAAACTGTTTATGTACAACATTCTAATCCTGTTTGAAGTGAATGACATCTGCTACAAGCAGGTCTGCAGTACAAGGGAGGGAATGGCCTAGTGTGAGATCATACAGCTGTTGTGTTTATCTACTTCAAACTATTTTCTAAAAGTGTGCAACATGGGAGASGGAGGAAGTAGGGAGAAAGCTGGATGAAACAAGGATGTAATGTTCAAGAAAACCACCGGATTCTTCCAGTCCTAAAAGAGATTGTAATATGTCTTTCAGCAGTTGCACTGTCAAAGCAGGATTACTCSCAAATACAATATCCCCAAAGGGTTTAGGATAGGTAAAAGACATGGTGTCATTTARTCTGCTAAAAAGTAAAGGAGCTCTATTTGTAATGAAAACTAGTTTCTCAAGACAAAGAAGAATGTTGAAAAACCTTTCTCAATGCACCAGTCAAAAAATAGTCATGTGCATTAAGTGAGAGTTTTTTTAAGGGACTTAACATTTAGCTTCTGGCATGGCAAACAGACCTGGTAATACTTGAGGCCCAGTACTGAAGCATAAGAAACTTTCTCTGTGCCAGTCTATGCTCATGACTGTCTCAATGCTACTAGCACCTTACACATTTCATCAAATATAAACAAAATGTTCTCTTTTACCTTTGTGTYATGAACATTTTTTAAATGTTGCTTTGTTGTGTTATTGGAGTGAGATTGCACAGGGTAATMGGTTTGTGCTTACTTCAATTTCTCMTTTTTAGCCATATAGKAGGCAYCAGATACTGAAAAATGTGCTAGCAGAAGAACATTTCTGTTTCAGAGTTAACAGATTCATTGCTCCAATGCAGTTTAAACATTCTGCTAGATTAGGAAYGTGAAGGATGAAGAAGCTGTAGTTAATTTCTTACTTACAGAGATTATCAAAGATAAAAGATAGATCTTGTAATTTTACAGTGTGTTCTAGAATGTACACACAAAGCTATTTTTAATGCACTGCAAAGAACAAAAGCATTCACATAGTTCRCAGCTATCCAGCTTCACATCCACACAGTTAAAGTTCACCCTCCTCTGTGTATCAGTTTTTTATCTGAAGAACCACTCTTAGGGCCTGACAAACATTTATCTCCCAAGCTCCTCTCTTCCACCCAGAGCTCTTCAAATCTAGTCTACTATTCATGTAAACTTGCATTAGTTCGTTCTGGTTGATTCACCCTTCAACTCCTCATGTGTAGACACTGAAAAATTACATTTCAGACATGTTGCAGATGTTTTTATAGAAAGTYAGCAAAATTTACCTCCTGGAAAGCTACTTTTTTGTTGTTCTATGATAAATGCAAACACAAACATCACATTTTAACTTAGCTGTGTATGTTTATTCAAATTCTGAGAATGACTACATTAAAAAAGATGTATGGAATTTAATTTATATTCCTCTTTCACAAAGCTCATTTTTTAGAACACTTTGTAACTACATCCCATATGGATTTTTTTTACCTGTTCAAATTTCCAGCCATCAGACATTGTGGAAACCATTTGAGTGAGTTCCTCTTCCTGACACTGCAGCACTCTGTATACATGTTTGACGGGCACCTTCAAGAAGAAACATAAGATACTCAATAGGACACAGAATTCATTATGTTTACAATTTGTCTGAAGTTGTCCTTACTCTCTAGAAATAGTAAGCAACACCACTTTGAACCCATCCAGAGCAATGAATAATTACAATCATTTTAGCCACGACCTATAGGAAATGTTATCAGAGCAACCCTGCGATCCCACAACCCGGCTTCAAGAGAAATTTGGCAATATGAGTTTTTAATATCTCCATGAAGACCCAGTTACCAGGGAAGCCTAAATAGCAGAGTTAAAGAACAAACTTYATCCTATTCACTTTCATGGAGGACATGAGCTGCTGTAAGAAGAGGCAACCTTCTCAGTCACAGAGCATTACAAATAAAGAAATTAACCTTGCGACAAAAACACATGACAGGAGCTGAACATCATCTTATGTATGCTGCATAAACATACTGTATAAAGAGCAGTTACACCAAAGCTAGGCAACCTCATCATATTCAGAGTATTTAAAAGTAAATGAGAAAGGTATGGTCTACAGAAGCTGTTCTAWAAAATAACTATTTCCAGAAATGATATTATGACAAATTCTACTATTACCGGACATTTTGGAACAATTACTTATATGTTTTCAGTTCTGGAACAAGATCTGTGAACTTTGTATGCATATTGGCAGGAGCCAGAAGTTAAGAATATTAACCTTAGTGGCTCCAGATCATCCAGTGATGGAGGCAGCCATTCAGTATCTTACTGAGGAAATCAGCAGTTACATAAAAAAACAAATGGAACCTACTCACTACTCGTCATGGAACAAATAATCAAAAGCATAGTTAAAAAGAGCCTCACCTGTGAGATTTTGCTGTCTCTTTCTCTTATTTTGTCCTTTACCAGTTTTATTAGAGATGTGATATTGTAGAATTCAGCCTCTTCCAGTACACCTAGTATGAAAACATTTTTTGGAAAGACAGTGTAACCAACTATTCCAGGCCAAAATCACCAACAAGTCCATAAGATTATCCTCTCAATAGCTATAGAAAATTAGAATTATAAAAAATTCTTTTTCCCTATGATAAAATAATTTACCAACCTAACAATTCTGGCTTCTTTCATTACATGTAATTCAATATTTAGCTCATTCTAAAAAATTGTCCCAAAAATATCCCAAAGAAAACTGATGCCATTTCACATACAAAATGAGGCAGGAAACAAAAAAAAAAAAATGCACACAGACACTGTTCCATAGCAGACTGATAGACCACCATACCTCAAGCCCCGCCTCAGGCTGGAATGCAATAGAGAAATTTAAATAATCCTACTGAAAATCTCTGCAGCTGCTAGCAAGCAGTAGATTTTTCTTCCTGTCATTTGAGATCTTACAGTCTGAAACAAAAGCTTAAAGACACATACTGCTTCTACTCACATGTTCAAGGCTTACCTGTTCTCTACACACAGTATGCCTAACAATGCACATGGAAATTACATTTCATACTATTTCCTCCTAGAATTGTTCAAWTGTATTTCTCTGATAAATTTCTTCAACATGCTATCAATATAGTTTTATTACTRTATGTTTTARAACAGTCATCCTCCACTAYGGTAAAATGGATACAAACTRGGAACGAGGAMGGAGAAGCTGAGGACAGAATTTAGYMTTTAAAAGCATAYTGCAYACATSTGAACATCCCAGAATTTCACTTTTAGTTCACTTTACATCTTCTAAAGCTTGTTTCTTAGGCTGCATTCTTTTGCTTAAAGAGGACTAAACCCAAATATTTCACACACTGATACCGGAAAGRTACAAGATTACACAATAAAAGGCATCTTGTCTGAATACTTACATTCCAAATGAGAATGGGGGTTGTAGAATCAGGAATCATACTTAAAATGCTCAAATAACCCCATATACTAAAACTGCATGACACCTATCAGTTTTGCTTTAAACAGATTGAAATGCTACACTGATTAAGGTTTGCCACCTTGTTCTAAATTAGTTTTGGAATAAACAAGTGCCAAGCAAACAGRATATTTAGAAATATCTTACCTTCCTCAGCTAGGTCCTTGTTAATAACCAGTTTCCCATGTCTGAGATAGTTCAGCACTGGCCCAAAGTAGGTTGGGTCTCTGTCTATTAAATAGGCACCTGTTTCATCCTAGATTAGAAAAACAAACAAACACAAACCAAACAACCCAAAACAAAGCAAGAGARCACCAAAACTCAAACAAACCCAAGAACCCACAATGATTTGAACTTCCAAGTGGGAACTGCAAGCTAATATTCATCTTGCAGCAAGCAGGTATTGAGATATAGCCACAGAAAGCCAAATTTATTAAAGATAATAAAAGAGAAATTAAACAATATAATCGTAATTATATCAGAATGATCATTCCAATCATTTAATGCACAGCTTCTCTTACCCGATCAATCCCCCCAAGCCCTTACCAATGGCTAACATCATTGTTAGCCTGAAAAATCTACGCAATAAGTGAGAACACTGAAAGCTATGCTTAAAAATAGCACTTAAAACGAGGAAATTTTGTTTGGGAACCTGAAGAGTCAGAACAAAGTCAAACTACATTCTAGTGAACTTCAAATACCAGTTCTTCCTTTTTTTTTTTTTTCTAATTAAAGGCAAACAAACCTAATTCTTTTAAACCTCAACACTTTGTTTTAAAAACATTTGGTTTTGCCTTAGCTCAGACATACAAATACTCACAGGGTACTGAGAACTGYTGTGTACCAAGCAGGGGTAGTACTTGCAAGTTTGAATCTTTCTTGCCAAAAAAAAGTTTTGCTCTTTTCACCAAATCATATTCCACCTTGTGACTGCCCTGCTGCGACTTTGAACTGCGGATATTTGAATTCAGTACAAGATTCCAGTAGGACTCAAAAGGTGGACCAAATACATACACTTCCCTAATCCCATTTAATAACCTCCCCAAGAATTGCATTAAAACACTAGTTGAAATGTCATAAATTTASTTCCAATTAATTACCTTCATTATAAACAATACTGGATCTGGATACACTCAGAATTCACATYACTGAGCTCTTGGCTCAAAGCTATATGCTCTAATATGAGTATTTTAAAAAATAGTATCATTTACATATACTGAGCAAGCAAAATCTGCATACTGATGCCTTTTGATAAAGGCATCAGTATGCAGAGAAATACAGTAATATTTGGTACTAAATCTGGATTTATAAATAATTGTCTTCCCTAGCCTCTGTGATTTTAAATATTGAACTAGATGCCCAAAACACATCTTTCACAAACTTTGAGCATTTGCAGACTAGGAGTACTTATCAAAACTACATCAGTAAAACAACCTCCCCAGACAAGTCAGAAATCTCATGTACAAATTAACTGTACCTGTTACTTCTTAGAATAATGACTACAATTTAGATATTTCTTGATGCTGACAGTCAAGGTTGTGTTACCAGGAAGACTTTTTCCAAAACATTTAGTGCATGCTTGCTTCCTTCTTTGACAGATTCTACCTCAGCTTTAGAAGGGCATTAAAATCAAGCAYGAATACTACTGCCGAAACCTTACTAATAAAGTTTGACAACCTCCTTGCTATGGGAAAAGTTAAAAGAATGCTAGAACAGTTTGTAAAAGAAAAACTGGTATACAGCTAAAACAGGAAGATGCTGGAACAGGGAAATATATGCAAATTATTAACAGTAATGCAGTAAATGCATTAAATTAGTTAAACAATGATGAAAAGGTGAGCAAGGCTCTACTTGTCTATTTTTTTGTATTCATCTCCAAATCAAGATTTAAATACTATGAAAAACAAATCCTATTGTGAACACTAAGTATGATCACTGCCAATCATTCATTTGCTGAAATGATTCTCAAATGATTYGCAGTCTTAAATACAAAGTTGGGCATGACATTGTGAAACATACTTAATTCAGAGAATCAGTGTCACCATCTTACTCCATTAAATACTAGCTTGGCCACAGCCTGTGCCAAGGTTAATCTTTCTTCCACTACAAGTGGAAACATACCTGACAGCATGAGACAGGCTGCCCCACCCTATTAAACATTCGTACCTGAACATAGTTTAAAGGCCAACAAGCTACCTCTCTTGAAGCCTCTCWGCTCTTTACAGTAGCAAGCATTAGGAAGTCATAGAACCACAGAATATCCTGARTTGGAAGGGAYCCACAAGGATCACTGAGTCCAACTMCTGGGCGYGCACTGCACAGYCCCAACAATCCCACCATGTGCCCGAGCTCTGTCAAGCTCATGGCTTGGGGCCATGATCATTACATGGGAGCCTCTTCCAGTGTTCAACCAAACTCTGTCTAAAGAAACCTAAACCTTCCCTGACACAGCTCCTTGCTGTTCCCTTGTACCCTGTCACTGGTCGCACAGAGCAGAGGTCAGTAAYGCCCCTCAGGAGGAAGAGCAGGCAGCAAGGAGCCTTCCCTCAGCCTCCTCTTCTCCAGGCTGACCTCAGCCATTTCTCATCAAAATCTTTGCACTCCTCCTTCAGATGCTCTCTAAAAGCCTTAGATCCTTCTGATACTGTGGTCCCCAAAACTGCTCACAGGACTCAAAGGGAGGCCACACCCCAGAACAGAGCAGAGGGGRAAAATCCCTCCCTTATCCAGCGGGTAACGGGTGGGCCTGATGCACCCAAGACACAGTTGGCCCTCCCCATCTGCTGGGRTATACAGCAGTGCTTTATCTTTTCATTAAGAAACATTAAAGGAATGTTTTCCTACTCTCTCCCAAAGAGAGCTGACCTGTCAGCAAGCCACCTACATTTCTAAATTTACTTTTACAGGTTAGTTTAAGCTCTCAAAAAAAAAAAAAACCCTCAGCCAAAACCAAAGACAACAAAACAATTCCCACACTACCACACTTCAAGTTTTTTTCCTACAACTCAGGAGGTTGATGGTTCCTCCAACCTCAACATTAGGTTCTGCTGCCTATCTTACGTGTTCAAATATTCTTTCTGGAAGTTATGCTTGAAAAAATAATTACATCTACTACAAACCTCACTGAAGAAAGATTTCAACATTTATATATAACAAGCTTTATTTTCAACCTGTTAGTTACACRTTCAAGGGTTATAAGCAGCTCCTTTCTTTTCTCTAACTCTACTATAGTGTAAAATATATTTTTTGTCCACAATGCCCCAAAATGTCTTTGAGAGCCAGCACTATATACAAATGCTTCATATCCATTACTACACATCACACCACARATAAAATCTTAGTAACTTTTTCCCCCTACTAAAAATGAGAGTGAATACCAAAATATTCACCCACCATTTGCAATCTATGCAGAATATATAACACTTTTCTCCAATAACTGCTGAAAAGATAGAATGCTACATGTAAGTGAGAGATTATTATCAAAAGTACTTTGCTCAGGCTCTTGTAATTGAACAAGAGAATAGTGACAGTGCAGAAATAACACAACGTCAGTGCAYGCAGATATTCCATTAAAACGCTAAAACTAAACCCCGTCAGACAACACTAAAAAATTACACAAACGTACAAACGATACGTGCTCTCTGCCGTATTAACGCRGTTTTGTTATTCACGAACCCAAGTGCTTCGCACGACATCAGTCCACCTTCCCACCTCAAGTCCCCTGAAGCTCAGGGACTCATTATCAACAGTCTCCACACAGACTMCCTCCGCGGCAGCACAGTCGCTTGTGCCGCCCCTCACGGCGGTGCCGGGCCCCGCGCTCCCTCACAGCGGCGTCACCGCGGGAGCGGGCAGCGGCCGCAGCGCACCGAGCGCCGGGCGGGGAGCGGGGACGGGGGAGAGGGAAAGGGCCCGGGGCGGGGGCGGACGCGGCGGGGCCCGCGCTCACCTTGTCCGARTCCAGATCGGGGTCGGCCTGACAGAGACGGAACAGGAAGGACTTGGGGTCCCTGCAGAGCGTCTGTCGAGTGGTCAGGAAGCAGGTGCCCCCCACATTCAGCCGGACCCACTTGCCGGGCCCCGCGCCGGGCAGCGGCGCCGAGCTGCAGCGGCGGCAGGGCCCGCCCGCGCCCAGGCCGCCTGACGGGGGCACCGGGAACTCACAGTGGTTCTCCGCCGCCATCCTCGCCACCGCCGGAAGGGGCCGCCCCGGCTGCCGGGCCCGGGCCGCGCCGCCCACCGGAAGCGTCGGCTGGAGAGCTCCCTGCCCCCTGTCGCCCGAGCGGCTGCTGCCCGGGCCC